TTTTTTTCATATATTTTTAGAAAAATTAAAATTTTTATCTTTTAGAAAATGTCTAGTGATTTCGCTATCTATATTCGAGACAAGCTTTTCGACAGCAAAACATCTGTCGACCATAAAATCTTACATAGTGTAAACAAGAAAGGTGAATTTGTTCTAAAGTTCTGTTTCTGGGAATATGACAGAACCATAAACATTAAGCAGAGAAGTCTTAAAATTTGTCAATGACAGACTTGTTGACAGAGATGACGCCTCTTGGAGAGATGAAGTCCAACAAAACTTCTTAGAATGCAAAGAAGACACATGCACTGTTCTTGAAGATGAAATAGAAAACAGAATAGAAGAGCTATTAAAGGACAAAGAACTTTTACAAAAATATGGTTCTGAGAAGTTTGACATAACTCCACCAGAAAAGAAGAGAGAAGAAAAGAAAGAAAAGAAAGTAGAAGAAGAGAAGAAAGAACCAGAGCCAGTTCCAGAGAAAAAGAAATTTGACATGTAAAAATAAAATTTTATTTTTAGAACATTTCTGGGTCAATGTCAATGTTCTCTTCCTCTTTAGGAGCAAACACTGGCTTAGACTCTAAAATCTTTTTACCCAATTTACCTTGAACTTCTACAACTTTAGACTCATAATATTCATAGTCGTCTGCTTTCTTTGGTTCATAAGGTATAACAAGTTTGTATGCTTTGCCTTCTTCGAGTTTTGAGAACCTTCTGTCAAAACTTTCTTTGACTGCTAACAAACCTTCTATGTCTAAGTCTTCAAATTTCGCACCATTTTTAGTCACAATAGCAAACTTAACTGGTTCGATGTTCCAAACTTTGCTGAATGAAGACTTTTCAAAATGGTAGAAGTAAACATTCAAATATGTGAATGGGTCTAGTTCTTCTTTAAGTCCTGACATGTACTTGTTTACTGAGATGAATTTTGCCATCTTTTTCTATCGGATAAAAAAAATATTTTTTTTAAAATTTACTCAGAAAAATTTTTCTTTGTATATACACCATTCTGAACATCTAAAAGACTTTTGACATTTGCCAAGAATGTTCGTTTAGACGCTGTCATATAACCAATACTCTTGACAATATTGTTTATACGAATCGTACAATGACCTTTCATCTAAACACTCAAAGTCAGTTTCATCTATGAACAGTTCATATACACTCTTGTTTGCTTCTAACAATGTTTGTCTCTCTTCGGTATGTGGAATTTGTCTTGGATTGAACTTTGAAATATCTAATGTCATGAAATATGAGAACAAGTGGTTGTAAAAGTCAGATGTAAGTTTCTGCTAAGTCGTCAAAATATTCTGTATCTTGCATATGAGTTCTGACGTTCTGACAACTACATATCTTCTGTCAGAACTTTCTAACTTCATCGGAACAGCATTGTTTGAAACCATAATGAAGTTTGCAACATTTTCACAAACTCTTTGGTCTTTATACTTTCTTTCAACAACTCCAACTTTGTCTGTTATAAGACTCTTCAAAGCATCTGAGTTCAAAACTTTTGTTGTATCTATACTTTGAAGTTCGTTACATACTATAAGTTTCATATTCTCTAGAAGAGTTAAATTTACCGCAGATGTTTCTAAGTTTGTCATATTAGGGTTCGAATAGCCCTCTAACAGTTTGCATAAGATATCTGTAAAGAAAGTGTTCTTACCTGTTCCTTGTTTTCCAATTATAATGAGAGCAGTTTCATTTTTAGCACTTGGATGTTGTAAGATGTTTGCAAACCAACATAAGATATACTCATAAACCTTTTCGTTTCCATTGCATATAATTTCTTTGACATGGTCTAACCAAGCTTCTATAATATTTCTTTCCATTCTACTTGTTCGTATTTATATCCAGTGAAGATAGAATAGAAGTTTGGAGAAGGTGTATAGAACTTTATACCTCGAACTGAAAAATCTTCTAACTTTGACAATAAGATATCCCAAGCATCTAACATCTTCATGCCAACTTGTACGACTTTTATTTTCTTAAGTTTCTGTTTACATTCTTGTTCTGAAACTATTGTCGCTTTAGGTTTGTTAAAGACAACATCCCATTCTTTCATAACATAACATTCTGGGGCAGAGTCGACATAAATGACTAAACGTTTCAAATTCTCGACTGCTTTGTTATAGTCTCGAAATGGACACATATTTCTGAATGTTTGGAAGTCATAAAAATCTGAAACATCTATTCTGTACATTTTTATAAAAATAAAAAAAATATTTTTTTTATTCTTGAGCTATTTGTTGCATTTGTTGTTCTTGAGCTATTTGTTGCATTTGTTGTTCTTGAGCTATTTGTTGTTGAAGTTGTTCTTGTAATACAATACTTTCACCAGTTGCATCTTCCAATTCGAAACTTTCTGCCGTCATTGACAAATACATAGGACATAAAAGTTTTACAGGAACAAAGTTTGCGTCAACTAATGTCAACGTTATACTTGCCAAAGTGTTTGAGTTCACTAAGGTTGAAAATTCTGCATTCGAATGAACAATAGGCAAACCAGCAGAGAAAGTGTTGTTTATACGCATAAGTATCTTTTGGTCATAAGTAGTTTCTGTCGACATTCGAATAGCACTTTGAACCTAAGTTTGAAACAATATATAAAATAGGTGTACTTAAAGTCAATGGAACAGACATTCCTTGTATGACACCTTTTCCTGTTATAGGAAACTGTTGGTAGTAAAAACCAGATATAAGTTTTGTATTATAGCTCATATTGTTTATAGTAAACTCAGTCGGACATCCAAACATAATGAAACCTGCTCTAGTTGCAGCACATGTTACACTCGTCCTTAAAGTATTAAATAAGTCAACAAAACCTGTTGGTGGTATATCTGAGTAAGTATCTTCAAAGGAGTATTTTTTACCATTCACAACAATAAATCTTCTGGTGTCAAAAGAGCAAAACAAGGCTTTAGTCGTCATTGTGTTTAAGGTTAGTTTACAATATCGTCCTTGAGGACTTTGTAAGTTTGTTGTTATAGAATTATATGACTCAGGGTTTTTAGTCGTAATAGTATAAACCACTATGTCTTCTGCCATTTTACTTAGCAAATAAATTTTAATGAAATGTTGTGGTCGTCAAATATTTTTATAACGTCTGGGAAACTATATTTTAAGTTCAACGTTTCACCTCCTTTCATAACGTATATCTTGTCAATGACATTATATGAAACACCACAGCAACTAATGTCGGGTTCTATTTCTTTGATGTTTATATCGTCTGCCTCTGTCAAAAGTTTCAATAGTTCTTTCAAACTTCATGAGGTGCAATGACATATGAGTTCACTTTTACAGGGTTGTGTTCGACCAAGTTTAACATTATACCTAAAGCTTGACAAATCTTCTCCTGAGTTTGAAGTTTGTTTTTCAGTTGTTGGTAGTCATTTCGAATATCTGCAACAGAACTTAAGTCTCTGCTAACTTCAGGATATGTTGGTTCTTTTACAGGAACAATTGTTATACCATCTTCGTCTTCGTATGGTTTCCCCACTTCAACATCTCTTCTTTGACATTGACAATAACACTTTGACTGTTTGTTTGAGTTGGTGAATTTAACTTCACATCTGCCACCGCCATTAAACCTTTTGAAACACTTACGCTTCTATTTTTCGGAAATGACATTTTACTTAGAATAAAAAGATGGACGTATTCGGATATCTCTTCGAATTGAAGCAGAACAAAGTTTACACACACAAACAATACAAATACATTGACAGAATAGTTCTTTACACAAACAATGGAAAATGTTATAGAATAGCAGTCTTTGCTGAACCAAAATATTTTCATAAAGCAAAGAAAGTTGGTATAACCGAAATGGTGAAAGTTCTTGAAGCAGACAAAAATATAACAACAAAACTGACCGATATTTCTAAAGGAAAGTTTATAATACAATATTATGTCAAAACTGGCGTACTGTCAATATTTGACGGAGAGAAGTCAGTTCAAGAACAACTTACTGACCTGCTGCCAAAATCTGCTCGATGGAAGCTGTCGTTATGCCAATCTGAGGAGCCCCAGCAGGTTTCATCGAACGAATCTTCAAAAGAGCATCTTCCGTGAAAAGTGCTATTGGTTTTGTAAACTTCTTTGCTTTCAATTCATCTGGACCGTCTCTGTCACCAGTATATTGTATTTGTACAGTACCAACAGTTGAAATACCACCCATAAAGTCTTCTGAGTCAGCAAATGGAATGCCAAGCCAAAAGTTTGAACGGTCTCCATTTGTATATTGAGTTTTTTGACTCCTGTATGAGTCCATACTTTCACATATGGCATAATAGAACTTTGCATTTCAGGGTTAATGGTTGTTGTGAAGTTGTTGTTAAAGTTCATAGCATCTAATGTCAAGTTGTATGACCTCATATCCTCAACTGTAGAATATTCTTCTCTTGGATAATATTTGCCATCTATGTTTATATGATATTTAATACCGGGGTTGTAGAAACAAGAATAGTCATTTATAGTTCGTCTGAACAGTACAAACATAGTATCTGCATGTTTCATTGCAGTTGTTAAAGCAATATCTGTTTTGCACCTGCGGCTCCTGATTTTGGCACTTTGGTTTCCAACTTCACCTGCAAAGTCTTTGACAGATATTTGGTGTATAGGGAACATAAGTGGAACTGCAATATATTTGGCAGCTAAAGCATTTGAAATATCTGGGTCCAACATATAGACTGCAAGTCTGCTTTCTATTCTCTTGCATTCAAATTTTTCGCATGTGAACTTAACTGGGTCCCAAGCAGTTCCAGCAGCATTGAAATAATAGTTTACTTCAGTGTTGAAGTTTGAGAAACCAAAGTCTAAGTCAACTTTGTCTTTGCAAAATTCGGCGAATGACGTTTTATTTGTTCCCTCTACGTCTGTAATAGTGAATGGGTCTTGTGTTGGTGCAATGACTAAGTTATTTTTGCTTGGAGTAAGTTCAATAGAAATTTTTCCTGCCCAGTTTGGCAAGTATCTTAAAAACCTGAAGATGAGGAAAGATGACAAAGGAACTCTAAGTTTCAGTTTTACTTTAGTGACAGCATTTCCATCTGAACCAGAAAGGTTAACATAAACTCCTGGAACGTTAGGGTCAAGTCTTCTTATTTTCTCAATAGTTGCATACTGGTCTGTTTGTTCTCTAGCTTGTGGTTGTACTGAGTTTCTCAAAGCGAACCATTCATAGTTTGCCCATGTTACTGTTTGAACTAAGTCAGAGTTAGAATATATCTTATATCCCATGAAAACTTCTGGAGCATATTGGTATCCGACATAGAAAATTCCATTGCAACCTTTCTTGTCAGACAACTTGGCAGAAGGTTTTATTTCAATGTCTTGTTCCACGTATAAGAATGAGTTGTCAATAGAAATAATATGAAACCTGTCGCAAGCAATATCTACTGTTGTTGAAGAACCTTCACCAAACTCACCTACATTTCCATAAGAAACAGCAGTTGTATATTCGTAAGTTCCAGGAACTATTTCTGACCTTCTAATGGCATTGTCGCATTCGTTATACCATTCGGAAACATTTCCGTTCATGGCATCCAAAACTGTTGGCGTTATATTCTGAGCGGCGTACATTTCATATGGGTAAAAATATAGAATAGTTGGATTTATGTGTCATAATAGAACCCACGTGGACCAAGCTTTACTTTCTTCCTGACTGAGTTTTTAACTCTTCTTTTTCCTTCATTGCCACTACTTTCACTTTGTTCTTCACTACTTTCACTTTGTTCTACTCTTCTCTTCTTTTTTGGTAACTTGCCCTCTGCTTCAAGTTGTTGCATCTTTGCCTCATGTTCACCTAGTATGTTGTAAATTTCCCATGTCCTTTTTGCCTTTGGGCTCTGGTCGCCCATCTCAGGTAACCTATATCCTAGAAAGATTTTGTCATAGTTTGTATTTGAGTCTTCGCGTATTGTTTGCATGACTCTTTCCTGAGTTTCCGGTTCAAGCTCTTCAAACAGAGCTTGTCCATATGGAATAAGCTCGTTTCCAAATATATGTTTTTGTAGCCATTCTGGTTTTCTTTCCATGTTACCAATTATATCTTTTGTGAATGGGAAAGCTTTTACCCAATGTTTCAGTCTTGCGTCATTTATTTCTGTAGTTGGTTTTATTTTGTCAAGGAACATGTTTTTCAATACTAACATTTCATTTGGTACTGTCCATTTGAGTTTTCTTAAATATTCATCCCTTCTCGTTCATTGTCTGCAAAGTAAGTTTTTATGACATTTTGTAAACTTTCGTTTGCAAGGTCATGTACAATAGGTTCTCTTCCTTCTTCTCCCTAACTTTCTTTCTAAACTCTTCACCAAATATACCATCTTTATGGTTCTGTGTAGTTCTTTGAGATAAATGTTCTAGAACGTCAGGTGTTATATTTCCATCAGCCATGTTCATTTCATACTGGTCCAAAATATCTGCATCTTTCATATCTTTCAATGGCATTAAAGCCGCGCTGAAAATACCAGCTATATCTGGTTCACCATTACTTCCATTGCGTCTACAACTTCTTGGAATTGTGGTTGTAAGTTTATGAACCACCTATCCGGGTTAGCTTTATGACCCCATCTCATTGTAGTTCCATAGTCTGCAGAAACAAAAGTAGGTTTGTTTCCATATTGGTTAGGTTCTGAATGAACTTTAAACAATGTTTCATTTCTATATGTTTTGTTGAAATTTAACCTTTTATTTTCACCGAGTTCAGCCAAAGATTGAACGTTATATGGTCGTAAGTAAAAAGGGTTATTGTATTTGCGTACATTTTCTTTCAGTACTTCCATTCTATGCTGAATATTTTCATCTGGTGTTGGAGTCTTTTGTATGTCGGCAAACATTTTTCGATATTCTTCTACTATGTCAGCCGAATTTTTCTTAGACTCTTGGAAAGATTCCATATTCACCTCATACTCTTGTTGAGGGTCAAGATTTTTCGGCTGTTCCAAATCTTCATCTAGTTCTGTGAAGTTAGTTTCCAAAGGAGGGACTTGTTCGTTTCCTTCAGGCTCTTCTAGCTGTTGTTGCTGAACTATTTCTTCCATGTCTGGTTGTATCTGAACTTCTTCCTGTGGAGTTTCTTGTACCTCATCTGCTGGCATTTCATATATTCCGAGACCGTTTTTAACAAGTTCCCTATCTAAGTCATCCGGACTCATAAACCTTTCTTCTTTCGTTCCGTCTTATTTTTTACGCGTTTCATGAAGAGAGTTGAATTGTCATTTAGCTCTGACACCAAATATCTCGGAGTAAATTCAGTCATGTCATTTGGATGATATGCTATTAAATCATATCCCTTAGCGAGCTTGTATTTTCCAGGTTTGAAATTATATCCCATTTGGTGCTGAGCCATAAAGCTAAATAGGTTCGGGTCAGTATTTCCTTCCTTGAACTTTCTAATAGCTTCTTTATATCTGTCACTAAAGTCAAGAGTATCTGGGTAACCATAGTCTTCTTTAAGCATTTTTAAGAATCTTGGTTTCCTTGTTCTCTACTTCTTTTATGTCCTTGCTCTGTTTGTGGTTGTTGTTGTGCAGGGTTTTGAACTGTTGGTTGTGTGCTGGTTGTGGAGGTGGTTGTTGTGCTGGTTGTTGTTGTGGTGCTGGTTGTTGTGTTGGTTGTTGTTGTGCTGGATTTTGAACTGTTGGTTGTTGTGTTGGTTTTGGTGCATGCCTGTGTCTGTGTCCATGTGACGATGTAAATGTTTTAGGTAGTCCTGGTGCAGGTGCTTCTCTTGGAGGGTTTGGTGGTATATAAGTTCCACCAGCTGGCACATATGTTCCATCTGCAGCATAATGTCCTACCTGACTTTTCGTTTTTAAGAAAGCATTTACTAGGTCTGTTTTGGTCTGTTGTAACTCTTTTTCTTGACTTTCCACAACAGTTGCTCTAACGGCGTCATAGGCACTTTGAACTGCCTGTCTCGTTGCTGCATCTGTTATTTTCGTCATATTTTGTGCTACTTCTCTTAACTCTTTGTCGAAACCTTCAGACTTCAGTTTCTTTCCAGATGAGAAGTCGTTCACTAGTTTCACCTTACTATGAAGAGCTTCGAAGGCATTCTTAAAGTCAGCATTCATTAAAGCTTCATTTGAACTGTCTTCATCCGCTTGTATTTTTGTCCTTATTGACCCTATAAGCTGGGCTGCTTTAGCGTTGGCTTGGGCATCTAACCAGTCATTGTTAGCTTTTATATATTCTGCGCTTTTCATTGCCTTTTGCATGGCTGCGTCGTTATTTTTACTTTCTTGTGCTAAGTTTTCATACTGTACGGTTTGGTTTTGCAACTGTAAAAGTTTTTCTGCCTTTACATTTGCTTCAACTTCTTTTTTATACTCATCGCTATCCATATATGTCTTCAGGGCTTTTTGTTTTATTTCTTCATCTTTCAGTACTTTATATTGAGTAGTATGGTTTTTCAAATTTATAACATCTTGTTCCATTTTTGCTACTTCTGCTGCTTTTTCTGACACTTTTTTCGCATATTCCTCTGTACTTAGTTCTTTCAGTTGCTCTTCTTTCTTCTTTTTCTCTACGTTTAACTCATTGAGTTTCTTTGTGTGTCTGTCATATTCTAGTTTCTTTTCGTTTTCACTTATTTGTTTCTGTATGTCTATGTTTGACTTTTTGACATCTGTTATTTGATTTTTGAGTGAACTCAAATTCATTTGACTTTGAGGGTTATATGCTGTTCCGTCTGCAGCTCCACCATAGCCTGCCATTTTCGCTAAAAGTGCCGCTCTTAAACCTCCACTCTGTGCACCAATAACTCGGTTTAAAAGCATAGGGTTGCTTGACATTTGTTGCAACATAGTGGGGTCATTCAGCATTTGTTGTTGCAACTGTTGTTGTGGTGTCAGTTTTACTATTGGATGTTTCAATGCTCTCTTCCTCTTACGTATATTCTTACGTAGCTTACGTGGCATTTTAAGTGAAGTTAAAAAGCGGTTTTTGACAGATGTTTATATGACACTATTTGTTCAGCTCAAAAAACTACTCGGTCAAAGTGTTGTCAGTTTTGTAAAATAACCGTCCTATCTCATTCTATAAGGGGGAAAGTCTTCTCAAAGTATACTTCCTTGGAACGCCCGTAACTTTTCCTGTAGCGACGATAGACCCTTACTTGTCCGGACAAAGTTATACTATTTTGAGTGCTCTACAAAAAAAGTCAACGGCGACGACTCTCAAAAACCGTTGTGTAAAAAGTTTTACCGTTGGACAAAAAAGTATATATAGAAAACAAAAAACGTTTATAGTTCATTCAATATTTGAGATGGAACGGTTTGCCAACGGAGACTTTTCAATAAAATAAAAAAATAGAGGGGGTTACCGTTGACAAAAACCGTTTATTTCAAACTCTTATTTGAGTTTATTTTTCATAATGGAAGGAAGAAAAAGTGTCGCAAACAATTCGTCGACTACCTCTGCAGTTAAAGTTCCTACAACTTATGTCTCACCATTTTCAAAACCCTTACGACCTCCTATAATACCAAAGCAACTTCCTCATACAATTCAAGACAATTTGTCCAACAATTTGAGTTCTTCTTCTCAAAACACAACAGATACAGTTGTCCAAACAGCACCAGAACAAGTTTCACATAGTTCTACAATTCAAGACAAATTGTCCAACAATTTGAGTTCTTCTTCTTCTCAAAACACAACAGAAACATCTGAAACAGATTTACAACCAGCACCAGAACAAGTTTCACATAGTTCTACAAGTATGTTAACAAGAGCACAATTTCAAGATTTAATTTCTCTTGAACAATATTCGAGTAACGAAACACAAACCGACGACTGTAACCTCTCGCTACCCGAATCCATTCAAAGAAAATACGCCATGAAAAGACTGAAATTGTTGTATAAACTTCTTAACAATTGGGGGGTCGAAGACAACTCAGACTATAGTGAAATGTTTAACAAAGTCATAGAATCTGTTAAACCAATTGAAAACGACATAAAAAATCCCGGTGTTCTTGTAGACCTTTTCGCCTCAAAATTACCAGTTACAACCAATCTAATAGCAACACAAGCTATAGAACAATTTATTTTATGTTTTCCCAAGCAATATAGACAACACCTGAGGGAAACAAGAATAGGAAAATTTCAATTGGTGTATCCTACAACATACAACTATTACGAAGAAGCAAATGAATATGGAGAACTCTCATTCCATTTCACACTTTCAGTTCCTGAGGGAGAAGAAAAAGCAATCTATCATGTACAATCTCTTGCAGGATGTGAAGGAAAACCACACATTATAACTACTGTTGCAATTGACAAACCTGCAAGAGTCGAAGACGATGTTTTGTTCGCGTCCATTGCTGGTTTTGGCATGGGAGAACCAATTCCAATTTCCCATTTCACAGAATACTCAGCACAACATTTTCAAAATGTAGAATTCGTGTTCTACGACCAGCAAAAGTTCCTGCTAACAAAACCAAAGAAACAATTTGTCTCAATATTTGTTGCTGGTCATGTGGCTGACAAAGAGCCATCAGATACTGACTATGAAGAAGAGGAGGAGGAAGAAGAAAACGATAGCGATGTCGTTCTTATCGAATAAAAACTTTAATTTCTTACTATATAATTTTTTTAGTTCTCCTCTAGGTTTTTTTAGGGGCTAGAAGGGGCGCAGCCCCTGGAAGCCCCACTCACCTGACCTTATATTAATATGATTATTATTGTAGCTGATATATGAAGCTTTCAGAACAACAAAAGAAAAAGAGTAAAGTGTCATTTTGATGAATTTATCCAATGGATGCTATCTGTTGTTGACAAATGCTGTGTATGAGTGGATTATTTATTACTCAAGTTCTGTTAGCATTCAGTACGATTATTTGAAAATAATATTTTCAAAAAAAATTATTGAAGATTGGATAATAAAATATTAAGGAAGATTAAAACAGTTGATGTTTAAAAACATATATAACAGCGTATTAGAGAATAAAATAACAAAAATAAACAAAAATTTAAAAAAAAAACTCAAAGTAAAGCTTCGTAATATGAATCACTTCCTGCATCAAGGTCTAGTGCATCTAGGTATTTTGGTGTGTTGTCAATATTATATTCTGGTGCGTTATAAGGGTCTAAACCACTTGAAGACAAGTGGATAGAAATCCTGCAAAGAATGTGTGGACTGCTCTTACTTGTGTTGTTCATAAGTTTATTTTCATTAATAACTTCATCAAAAGGAAGTTTAGAACTATCATAACTTAAGTTTGAAACAAGTTCGTCTTTAAGAAGACCTTTCTTATATAGGTATATAGTAAATGATGTGTGTTTATTGTTGTCTAGTTTGATATGGAAATATTCATTAATTCGGTGTTTCCCGTAAAGGAAAGGAAACTTTTCGGAGCAAATACCAGATTTGTGATTATAAATAACATAGTAATACTTCTCGTGATGATGGTGGTGATTGTTCTGTGAATAAATCTTAAATCCTTTGAGGTGGAAATAAAGAATTGCCATTTGGAATTTGACATTTGTAAATCGTTCAAATCAAATATTGAATTCATGAAGAAAAACAATTGTTATTTTCGACGAATTTGATATCAATAATACTCAAAGATGATATTATTCAAACGACGATCTCTCACAAAAAGCATGCCGATAAATCAAAATTGAATATCGTTTGCTGAGCTAAAAAAATTATAGAAAAATAAATATAAAATAATTCCTTATTTGATAAAAAAATGATTGTTTTGATAATCGGAAAAGTGACAAATTTTCCAAATAAGATTTGTTGAACCCCTATTGATGTATTTCATCTCTTTCTACTCTGCATATATCGTTTTATGTGTGAACGAGCATTTATATTTTACAATATCAATGATTTAACTTAAAAATAAAAAGATCATTTTATAAATGACAGTCTTCCAAGTTTAATATGCCTGTAAAAAATAATTAGAACATTTCTATTATCGAACTACTGAGAGGATAGCCGATTGTTTCAATATAAGGTAGTCACAAAATCTAAGTAGTGAGGCTCTCAAAAATTGAACCGTACTCCATACAAAATTTGTGTACCCTCACTACTTAGATTTTGTGGCCTTCAATTGAGAGGTTAGTTTTGATAGAGCAAGTTATAAAATTAAAAGGGAAAAATAAATAAAATTTAAACATTTAATTATATATAATGTAAGGAGTGTAATTCCAAATTTTCTAAAAACTATTCAAATTTGAGCATTTTTTTGGAAATAGTAAATCTAATATGTACATCTAATAACAACATGATTCATCACCTTTTCAAGCTCTGCAGTCAATTTTTTGAAATTTGATTGAAATAAATGTAGCAAAAATTACATTTCATTAGGGAATATATGAGTTTCTCTGGAAACAGGCTGATAAATTTTAAATTTTGTCCAATCAACATGAATGCATTGAGAAATTTGGATTGATTTTCTGGTAGAATCTGGAACAATTCAACCATGTATAAATGGATCATGTAATCATCATGAAATGTTAGTGTTAGAGTTCAAAAGAAACAGAATGAGTGGAAATCAAACACGATCTGAATAATTTTAAACGTATACAATCTTTAAGTTTGTATTTTGAATTCTACATATATGATTGTGTAATTCGTTCTTTCAAATTTTCGGATTCAGGCATGTTTTGATAAAATTCATTCCCAAAAACGTCAATTAACAATTAAATTTAGTGTATTTTAAATATATATACGTATTATATTTTATAAATTATATTAAATTCGCAAAATTTTAAGTTTTAAACAAAAATAAAAAATGTTCAAAATATGAAATTATGCATAGGATATTAAAATTTACATGTTAGCAATTTTTTTGAATTGCTTTCAATTTTCATATTGAAATTTTTAAGATTTTTTTCTGAAATAATAAGCAAGAATATCAACCTAAATAATATTAAATTCCATGCGTTAATTTCCCCTCAAAAGTCATTGACCGCCTCTCAATCTAGATTTTGTGAGTACTTTATTTTCGTAATTATTCAAGATCAAATTATAAAACCATATATAACAATTGAATTATAAATTAAATGAAAGGAAATATATTGTTTATTCCGCAAAATTTGATCTTAAAAATCTTAAATTTAGACATTTTCTCCATCTGGAGAATCTGAGTCAATACCTGCATCAACATCTGCTGTTGAAAAAAGCGGATTATCAGCTGTAGCATATTCTTCACCTGTGACTGTTGTACGCGTTTCTTCGTTCATCATGTCTATTGAATCATTATTTGTATCATCGTTAGCTGAACCATTATCTTTCTTTCTCTTCATCAAGATAATAGTGATAATAATAATTGCTGCAACCACAAGAATAGCAATAATAACTCCGATTACAATTCCCGCTGTTTTTCCTGGATTCGTCTTTCCACCCCTACTTTTTGGATCATTATTGTTTCCTGAAGAATTTTCATTTATTTTAGATGAAGGTACCGATTGCGAAGGATGAATAGTTGGTTCTGAATTTGGAAGAACTTTGAATGTGGCATCAATAGAAGATTTCCTATTGTCATCACCGAATGTGAATGTGATTGTGACATCTTTGTTTGCATAGCTGTCGTCAGGTGTGAACTTGTGTGTGTAAACGGTGGATTCGCTATTTTTGGTGATAGTTGTTTCGTCACCAATCTGGATATTGTTGATAGAATAACTGAATTTGAGGCTGTTGTCATCGATGTCTGTAACTTTGATCTTGAATTGGCATTCGTCGCCAACATGAACTTCCTTATTGTATTCTTCGGCAAAACTCAAATCGATTCGAGAATTGAGAACTCTGATCTCATCGATTTCGACTGGTGTTGATGTTTCTTCACCAACCTTAGCAAACAACTTCAATTTGTATGTCTTTTCTTCTTCGGGTATCGGAATTGCTGATTCAACTTCAACTGAAATCTGATTGTCTAGACCGTTTTCTGTTGTGAAATGATCAAGTTCTTTCGTTTCGACAAGCTGGCCTGTCGAGAAATCATACAACTCGTATATTGCTTTGACTGTTTCGCCTGCACGCTTAACACCGAACGTGTAGTATACATACAGATCTTTGTCATGGTGGATCTCGGTTTGAACATCCCTTGTAAGAGTAAGTTCTGGTGGGGCGTGATCGGTGATGTTGAATGTTCTGTGTATGCTCACTTCGGAACTTGAATCTCTTCCAACGATGTAATATTCAATAGAACCTGTACTTGGTGGAGCTGTGAATGTGAATGTCTCAACAGAACTCCTTGTCTGTGTCAAAGAAAGTGTTCTTCTATCTGATCTATCATTACCGATTCCAGCTGAAATATCAACTGTTGTATCATCTTCATCAGAAATTGTAACACTAAATGAATACCTCCTTGAAATTTCAACGTTTTCTGCGATTGGTTCCACCCATACTAATTTAATGGGTTCATTGTAAATATGAATTGTCATTGTCCATACTGGATCTGATTTGACAGAATTTGCTGATACCCATATTCTGATGAAGTAATCGCCTTCAGATTCGGGAAGGGGGATTCTCGTTGAGACTAATTCATCATATAATTTCGATGTTGTTGTAACAAAATGACCGAGCTCACCACTTTGTGTGAATCCATCATCATTGACGAGTTCATATTGTGCTTTGACTGTAACGCCACTCTCTGCATATCCATATCGTGCATGGATGACAAAATCTTCATCATGCCGATATCTGTCCTTATCAATTTGATCGATGAGTTCGAATTTTGGTGTCTTTGGTAATATTGTATGCTTCGATGTAAGATGTGCTTCTTTGACAGTATCGTTGAAATAGAAAACTAATGTAACTTCTTTGTTAACATATTGAGATGTTGGAGTCCATTTGAATGTATATTTTGTTGTTTGTTCTGTTTTTCCAAATTGAACTGGATCATCAGATCCATCTCCATCAACTGTATACCTGAATAAAAGAGAATTATCGTCTGTATCGTTAACAGTAAAAACAAATGAATACTCTGTTCCAACTTCAATAGCTGATGGTGGCTTTGATTCGAATGAAAGTTGTATTTTTTCATTGTAAATAAGGAAATAGAGCTTTTGTTCTTCTGAGTTCTTATCTCCTGAAACAGATTGAAGTACTAAGTAGAAGATTTCATCTACTTCTGGCATTTCAATGTCTTTTCTGATTTCTTTAGTTATATTATCATTTGTTGTGAATTCATCAAGAGTGCCTTTACTGTACAATGTTTCATCGCTGTAGTTCCAAAATTGATAGTTGAGCTTGACATTAGCGCCTGATGCATCTATACCATAAACGGCGTGGATCGTGTAGTGTCCGTTGTGATCTCTCTTAATTGGTGATTCCTTACTTCCTTCATAGTTTCCATCTTCGTCTGGTTGAATGTCTAGCAATGATAGTGTTGGTACAGCATTTGAATTTTGAACTGTTACAAGATATTTAACAGATGTCGAATTGAATGTTTCATACTTCGAGAATAGTTTGATTGTATATTGACCTGATGTTTCTGGTAACTTGATATTATACTGGTATTCTTTTTCAACATCAGATGAATCTCTCGTGAATGTGTCGACTTCATGAAATTCAATTGCCTTTCCGTTGCTATCATAGATTTCATAGCATGCTATGCTTGATCTTCCTGTCTTGGCGAATCCATGCTTGACTGGAACACTGAATGTTTCGCCTACTTCATATGACTCTTTAACAGTAACTCCTCCATTGACATAGAAACTAGGTGGATCATATATGCCTTTTGCAAGATAATAAATTATCTCCACTGGTTCATCTGGTGTAATTTTGGCATTCCAAAAAGCTGTGAAAATATCAGCATTGGTAGAATACATATGTTTTGATGAGTTTGTAAATGTCCTCTCTGGAGAAATAGTAAATCTATGAATGAAACTTCTCCCCAATCGGTTTGTTGCATCTTCATATCCTAAGAAAAGAATAGTATATGCAAGACTTGTTGTTGACTTATTTTGTAGGACAAATCCATAATGACTGTTAGTTGTTTCAAATACTTTGAAGAGTTTTGAACCTAAATATGCATTCCAAGTAAATCCGAACCATGAATACTTTGAAACGGAGGATGTGATCTTTGTTGTAACTTTAATAATGTTGGAATCGGCATCAACGGGTGTATACGAATATTCAGTATTAATTCCAAGGGCTCTAGCTTCCAATGCTGTTTTATATGTTCCATCGTCCTTCTTTGTTGGATACTTATTATTTTTTAACAAATATCTGATATACAAGCCATCAGAATTCTCGGATAAGGAATTTTCACCATCAAAAATATCATAATTCGCCTTTTCGTCATTCACTTTGATGCTGAGTGAATGAGCCTTTAAGAATAAGAAACTTAAGAACATACTTATTTTTGACGAAAGGAAAAATGATTGTTTATAAGAGTTGAATTTGAGAACTTTACGTTACAATGTATTCTCAAAAATTGTGAAAAAAACAAATTTCAAAATTGAATGAATTGATTATAAAATTGAATAAAGTACCATCAATATCATATGATCTCAATCATTAAAAATGATGAATTGTTCAATAAAATATGATTAAGCTTAATAAAAACACTTTTGAGAAAATTTGACAACCAAATATCATCATAAAATGAAATTTGTATTTGGCATAATTCCCTATTTTCAAATTTGCAAGATAAAATAAGGTTGATAATAAAACATCAACTAATGAAAATGTTAATATTTTTGTCAGACTTGTCTAGACGTGAATTTATCTTAATATTCGAATTTTGTCAAAATTTGCATTGATTTTAGATCTTTGAAACGTGCTTTTCAAAAAAGTTTGAAAATATTACTGTTGCTAATTTTTCATAACAAACCAGACACCGGCGGTTAAATTTTCGACAATTTATCGCAATTAACTATGGAAATAAGATTTATTTAAATGAAATAGTATGTGAGTAAATGTTTTGTGACCTCGATAGCGCATGGCTATAAATTTTATCTGAATTGAAAGGAGCCGATTCATCCAAGAATTCTGTCATCGATCATTAATCTAAGGTAGTCACAAAATCTAAGTAGTGAGGCTCTCAAAAATTGAACCGTACTCCATACAAAATTTGTGTACCCTCACTACTTAGATTTTGTGGCCTTCAATTGAGAGGTTAGTTTTGATAGAGCAAGTTATAAAATTAAAAGGGAAAAATAAATAAAATTTAAACATTTAATTATATATAATGTAAGGAGTGTAATTCCAAATTTTCTAAAAACTATTCAAATTTGAGCATTTTTTTGGAAATAGTAAATCTAATATGTACATCTAATAACAACATGATTCATCACCTTTTCAAGCTCTGCAGTCAATTTTTTGAAATTTGATTGAAATAAATGTAGCAAAAATTACATTTCATTAGGGAATATATGAGTTTCTCTGGAAACAGGCTGATAAATTTTAAATTTTGTCCAATCAACATGAATGCATTGAGAAATTTGGATTGATTTTCTGGTAGAATCTGGAACAATTCAACCATGTATAAATGGATCATGTAATCATCATGAAATGTTAGTGTTAGAGTTCAAAAGAAACAGAATGAGTGGAAATCAAACACGATCTGAATAATTTTAAACGTATACAATCTTTAAGTTTGTATTTTGAATTCTACATATATGATTGTGTAATTCGTTCTTTCAAATTTTCGGATTCAGGCATGTTTTGATAAAATTCATTCCCAAAAACGTCAATTAACAATTAAATTTAGTGTATTTTAAATATATATACGTATTATATTTTATAAATTATATTAAATTCGCAAAATTTTAAGTTTTAAACAAAAATAAAAAATGTTCAAAATATGAAATTATGCATAGGATATTAAAATTTACATGTTAGCAATTTTTTTGAATTGCTTTCAATTTTCATATTGAAATTTTTAAGATTTTTTTCTGAAATAATAAGCAAGAATATCAACCTAAATAATATTAAATTCCATGCGTTAATTTCCCCTCAAAAGTCATTGACCGCTTCTCAATCTAGATTTTGTGAGTACTTTATGAATCTGTTTGAAAATAAATGTAATTCAAGAAATTTGTTTTTATCAGGATAAAATCATTTTTATTCACAGTCTATAAAAATCCGAATATTGATTTCATAATGTACTTATATAAATATTGCTAAATTTGTGACTGATATTAATGATTTGTTGTAATTTCAGAAAGAATAACGTAAAGTTTTGCGAAAACAATCGATCGTATATTAATATGATTATTATTGTAGCTGATATATGAAGCTTTCAGAACAACAAAAGAAAAAGAGTAAAGTGTCATTTTGATGAATTTATCCAATGGATGCTATCTGTTGTTGACAAATGCTGTGTATGAGTGGATTATTTATTACTCAAGTTCTGTTAGCATTCAGTACGATTATTTGAAAATAATATTTTCAAAAAAAATTATTGAAGATTGGATAATAAAATATTAAGGAAGATTAAAACAGTTGATGTTTAAAAACATATATAACAGCGTATTAGAGAATAAAATAACAAAAATAAACAAAAATTTAAAAAAAAAAACTCAAAGTAAAGTTTCGTAATATGAATCACTTCCTGCATCAAGGTCTAGTGCATCTAGGTATTTTGGTGTGTTGTCAATATTATATTCTGGTGCGTTATAAGGGTCTAAACCACTTGAAGACAAGTGGATAGAAATCCTGCAAAGAATGTGTGGACTGCTCTTACTTGTGTTGTTCATAAGTTTATTTTCATTAATAACTTCATCAAAAGGAAGTTTAGAACTATCATAACTTAAGTTTGAAACAAGTTCGTCTTTAAGAAGACCTTTCTTATATAGGTATATAGTAAATGATGTGTGTTTATTGTTGTCTAGTTTGATATGGAAATATTCATTAATTCGGTGTTTCCCGTAAAGGAAAGGAAACTTTTCGGAGCAAATACCAGATTTGTGATTATAAATAACATAGTAATACTTCTCGTGATGATGGTGGTGATTGTTCTGTGAATAAATCTTAAATCCTTTGAGGTGGAAATAAAGAATTGCCATTTGGAATTTGACATTTGTAAATCGTTCAAATCAAATATTGAATTCATGAAGAAAAACAATTGTTATTTTCGACGAATTTGATATCAATAATACTCAAAGATGATATTATTCAAACGACGATCTCTCACAAAAAGCATGCCGATAAATCAAAATTGAATATCGTTTGCTGAGCTAAAAAAATTATAGAAAAATAAATATAAAATAATTCATTATTTTTGAATCTCATCGTTTCAATGCAAATTGAAATAAGATTATTTGAACCACTGATGATGTATATTATCTATTTATACCCTGTACTTGACGTTTTATATACGAATATTTATTTAAGACCAGAAAAAAATCCAGAAAAATTATATTGTTTAGATTTATTTGATGAATGGTACATATTTAAGCAGAAATTCTTGATGCTATTCAAATTATTGATTTTTAACAAACATTCATGAATGTCGACAAGTGCTATATATTAAATGTTTGTTAGTATACATGTATTTTAATTATACCACATTTTTCCAAATATATCGACATTTTTTTAATCTCATTCAAATATTTATAAGGAATTATAGGATATTTGAGTAATAAATGCATTGGTTATATTATATCAATCCGATAAGTTACCACTTATAACTAAAGATACCTGAAATCCTAATTTTGTTGAATGGTAATCTTCACATAATGTCATTTTTAAAAAAGTGGCATCTGAGTATATTGTTTCGGCTTTATCTGGTCGTGGAAGCAGAACCAATCCATAACACCAGCATGAAACAATTGTATACTTGGGACCAAATAATATCTATATTGTAAAAATCAAATCATTCGATGTTCAACTTGTCATATCTTGCATTAAAGTTAATACTTTTATTTTTTCGAAATATTACAACACCAACTATCTTATGTATTACCAGTGATAACCAAAGAACTATTTCAGCATAATAAATTTAACTCAATTTTGAAACAACAGATTGACTAACCATTCGTATCTGTTGCATACTGCTAGATAATGGCATCTCAAATGCCATAACTTAGCTTTCCATTAAAGTAGAGATACAGTTCTGATGTTGCCTATTTAGAACAATCATTATCAGCTGATCAAAGGACTATGATGCTAAATATGAGTCTACAAATTTCATACGAATTTTATTCTGATTTAATATCGAGAGCAATCAAGTTTTATTTATTGAACTTACCATTGAATAAAATCGTCATTTTATTGATTACCTTCTAGATGTTTACTATTATTTGTAAGTACATGAAACAAATCCTTTATTTGATCCAAATATATTTTTATTTTACATACAATGCTTGATAAACTATATACCATTATAAATTTGTTTGATAAGTAACTATGCATAAATTGAATTTGCTGTAATATACCTATTTTAAAGATTATTAAAAAATTATTTTTTAAATTTTGATGTAATATTGATATTTTTAGTATACAAATTGTAGTAAAACAAAAATAAAATGATTTTATAGATTTAAAGTTCAAAAATACACCTTAATTTCATCAGTAATTTGAAATAATCTAGAATTATAACCTCAAATTTCCAAAAAAAATCGAGAATTGTAAAATTCAATATCAATTTCAAGAAAATTACATTTGCATTTTCCTAAATCAAAAAAATTTGGAAAAAATCACAGGAGTAAAATTCATTCCAGGTGTCCGCCGCAACAACATCCTATCAAAAACAACTCGAAATTTTTAAATATTGATATCGATTTTCATCAAACACTTAGTGTCGATTGTTTACAGTTAGGCATATTGCACATCATTGAGTTATAATATATTTGAACATACTGTAAACAGTTTTCGAAATTTATCAATTTTTCACGCGGATCAACAATACTCTAACTATCATACACAGATATTCATACCACAATCTTATTATAACAAGGAATACTTAATATAACTGAAGATATAACGATTAATTTACCCAATTCTAAAAATATTTTCAATTAAATATCCTTGCTAATGAATCTTTTCTGTGTGCTTGTAGAAGAAGAGCCGAAAAAAGCAATTTTATAAAATACTTTCTTTAAAATAGTTTAATCAGTACATAATTTTCTTTCTTAGCGTCGAATTTTACTATTCATGAACCATGTTCTCCATTTTATTCTCATGGTACATTCAAATATCCTCATTGAAAAGAAAAATGTGGATATTTAAATTTCGCAAAATCTAAAGAAAGCCATTCAATAAACTTATATATATTATTACTATGCTCATCATGCTTAATTCAATTGGTCCAATTTTAGTCGATATACTTGCTTGAATAAAAAAATATTATGAAAATACTTACAATTTTTATAAAACTTTGATTTTATAGTCCTTCTTGTATTCTCTCAGGAGTTTCTCAACGTTTTTTGAATCACAATCTACGCTTATCATCAAAGCATCGTATTTATTGACGTCAACAGCTTCAATATTTGCTCTTTTCTCAATAAGTAGCTTTGTTAGCTTGCAAGCATCGCTCATAGCGCATTTCATCAGTACTGTTTGGTTAAATTTATCAGTTTTCTCGATAAAAGCTCCTTTTTCAATCAAAATTTTTGCAACATCGACAGAATCATATTGAGCGCATGCCATCAACGGAGTCTTTGAGAACTCATCTTCATCATCAACCGAAGCTCCATTTTCTATAAGTAACTGAGCAACTTTTACCGAATTTCCTTCTGATGCGTAAATTAAAGGCGTAGAACCTATTACATCCCTTGCATTTACATTCGCATGACATTGTTCAATAAGAAATTTCGCAACTTCATATGAATCATTGGCAGAACAATAAGTTAAAGGAGTAATTTTATAAATTGAGGTATCTTCTACATCCATTTTATTATCTATTAGTAATTTACATATATCTAGGCTATCTAATATACAACAGTGATCTAAAGCTGTCAATTTATTGAAATCTCTCGATTTAATATTTGCTCCTTTGCTAATTAACAAATTTATTAAAGAAGGAATACAGAAACGTGCTGCAGATGGGAAAGCTATGAATCCTCCGTTATCCGGACTGTTTATTTCTTTGATTGAACATAGTTTTGCTAAAAACATTTCGATGTTATACGAAAATGTACATTTTGACCATGAATACTCTAAATCGTACTTGCTTTGGAGATAATTAGCAATATCATTGTGATGTGCTACAACAGAATTGTTGATACACCTCATATTTGGTAAAAATTTTTGTTCGCAAAATTGAATTATTTCGTTATCACCACCAAGACATGCATTTTCTAGTGTTTTCATTGTAACTTTGGCTTGGTTGCATACAAGAAAGCGAAAACATTCAACAGATCCATAAAAAGCGCAATGATCTATCAAATTATTTCCTTCTATGCTTGTATCGACATCAAAATTAGTTGCGTTTGCAAATTTTGCTAATTTTTGCGCATTATCTTGGAATATAGAATGTAATATTGATGATTTATCGTATATTTCTAAAATATCTTGAATTTTTGAATTTTTGTATGCGAAATCGCTCATGGGCCAATCGAACACATGCTTTTTAGAGATAATTGCTCTTAAGGATTCTGTTTTTAATAATGTATTATGTAGATAAATTGGATATTTTTTATAAAATTCCTCGAAAAGTAAATAATATAGGCGCAAATTATGTAGTCTATAGTTTGAAATACGATCAATGATTCTAAATACGTCTTGTGGCTTTATTTTATGGACATTCATATTCTGTTCGGCTAAAATGATGATATTTTGGATAGTATCTTCATTAATATTGACTACACTATTTACGAGATCTATATAATCCGAGTAATTTTTCATCAATTCCTCTTCTAAAAATATTACATCGGACATATAAAAATTAATGAAGAAAGTTCGTAAAAAGTACATTGCCCTTTCTTTTAGAATATGATGGGTGTAATAAACAGAAATTCATCAAAAGTGACAGCTCTCAATTTTTTGACATTTGTAAATTCTAAATTGAATGAGAAAAATGAAATAATACTAAGCATAATACAATATTCTAGATTTAATTATAATTAGGAAAAAGTTAGTTTTGAGAGTACTTTTCATAGGCATATAGAATGAAATCTTCTGAAAAATCAAATTCAATGATCTTAAAAGCGAAGGATAAACCTCAAAATTTACGAATATAATGAGTGGGAATATAATGCTTATCTATCATAAAACCATATGAAATATCAATTTTTGCTTTACGCCTAATTTTTGACGACAATTAGCAAAAAATGTTAAATGTTAACACTCAGTCCATTTGAATATGAAAAATAAAATTGACTTTGATTAAATGTTTTTATTTATCATGCAATTCTTCTTGCGACCAAAGATTTGAATAAAAGTTCAAAAAATAAGATAGCTTAAAAAATAATATACGGTAGTGTTTACTAATAGATGAATAGTATATAAATTCTATTAAAATGGATTTGATCCAAAAAAATATATAAAATTTGATCATAAATAAAATCGTTTTAAATTACTTCTTCATTTAAATTATAACAATTATTTTTGGTTTTATATTTTTTTGGATCAAATCCATTTTAATAGAATTTATATACTATTCATCTATTAGTAAACACTACCGTATATTATTTTTTAAGCTATCTTATTTTTTGAAATTTTATTCAAATCTTTGGTCGCAAGAAGAATTGCATGATAAATAAAAACATTTAATCAAAGTCAATTTTATTTTTCATATTCAAATGGACTGAGTGTTAACGTTTAACATTTTTTGCTAATTGTCGTCAAAAATTAGGCGTAAAGCAAAAATTGATATTTCATATGGTTTTATGATAGATAAGCATTATATTCCCACTCATTATATTCGTAAATTTTGAGGTTTATCCTTCGCTTTTAAGATCATTGAATTTGATTTTTATATAAAATAGTTATATATTAGAAAATAATATGAGTTTATGTGATATTATTTTTCAGAAGATTTTGTGTTCTTCTTCAAAATTTTATTTTTTTATTAAAAAGAATCTTTACAAAATATACATTACTTTAATTAATATTTAAAAACGTGCTCTATCAAAAGTTCCAAAAATTCAATATTTTAGCTTTTCTGAGGTGTCACTTTTGATGAATTTCTGTTTACAACATGATGGAAAAAAAAAAAAAAAAAAAAAAGGTAGTGGGGCTTCCAGGCACTTCGTGCCTTCTAGCCCCGTTGATGTTTAGTATAAAATGAAAGTCTTTACGAAGAAGAACTTTACAAAACATAGACAAGAAAGTTCATGAGGAACTCTCAACAAAGTCTTTACGAAGAAGAACTTTACAAAACATAGACAAGAAAGTTCATGAGAAAGTCTTTACAAAGTCTTTACGAAGAAGTCTTTACAAAGTCTTTACGAAGAAGTCTTTACAAAGTCTTTACGATGAACTCTCAACAAAGTCTTTACAAAGTCTTTACAAAACATAGACAAGAAAGTTCATGAGAAAGTCTTTACAAAGTCTTTACGAAGAAGTCTTTACAAAACATAGACAAGAAAGTTCTTGACAAAGTCTTTACGATGAAGAAGTCTTTACAAAACATAGACAAGAAAGTTCTTGACAAAGTCTTTACGATGAAGAACTTTACAAAACATAGACAAGAAAGTTCATGAGGAAGTCTCAACAAAGTCTTTACGATGAAGAACTTTACAAAACATAGACAAGAAAGTTCATGAGGAAGTCTCAACAAAGTCTTTACGATGAAGAACATTACAAAACTTCATCGTCAATGAGTGTAAATCAGGCAAAAATTATTTTAGGGTAGATGGTTAGATCTAACCTGTTTTCTAACCTCATTTCTACCCTCTTGAATTTTCATGAACTTTCTCAACAAAGTCTTTACGATGAAGAACTTTACAAAACATAGACAAGAAAGTTCATGAGAAAGTCTTTACAAAGTCTTTACGATGAAGAACTTTACAAAACATAGACAAGAAAGTTCATGAGAAAGTCTTTACGATGAAGAACTTTACAAAACATTGACAAGAAAGTTCATGAGAAATTAGACGAAGAAGTCTTTACAAAGTCTTTACGATGAAGAACTTGACAAAACATAGACAAGAAAGTTCATGAGAAAGTCTTTACGATGAAGAACTTTACAAAACATAGACAAGAAAGTTCATGAAAATTCACGAGGGTAGAAAAGAGGTTAGAAAACAGGTTAGATCTAACCATCTACCCTAAAATATATTTTTGGGTCATTTACAAAACATAGACAAGAAAGTTCATGAGAAAGTCTTTACGATGAAGAACTTTACAAAACATTGACAAGAAAGTTCATGAGAAAGTCTTTACGATGAAGAACTTTACAAAACATAGACAAGAAAGTTCATGAAAATTCAAGAGGGTAGAAAGTGTCATATAAACATCTGTCAAAAACCGCTTTTTAACTTCACTTAAAATGCCACGTAAGCTACGTAAGAATATACGTAAGAGGAAGGGAGCATTGAAACATCCAATAGTAAGACTAACACCACAACAACAGTTGCAACAACAAATGCTGAATGACCCCACTATGTTGCAACAAATGTCAAGCAATCCTATGCTTTTAAACCGAGTTGTTGGTGCACAGAGTGGAGGTTTAAGAGCGGCACTTTTAGCGAAAATGGCAGGCTATGGTGGAGCTGCAGACGGAACAGCCTATAACCCTCAAAGTCAAATGAATTTGAGTTCACTCAAAAATCAAATAGCAGATGTCAAAAAGTCAAACATAGACATACAGAAGCAAATAGGTGAAAACGAAAAGAAACTAGAATATGACAGACACACAAAGAAACTCAATGAGTTAAACGTAGAGAAAAAGAAGAAAGAAGAACAACTGAAAGAACTAAGTACAGAGGAATATGCGAAAAAAGTGTCAGAAAAAGCAGCAGAAGTAGCAAAAATGGAACAAGATGTCATAAATTTGAAAAACCATACTACTCACGATATAAAGTACTGAAAGATGAAGAAATAAAACAAAAAGCCCTGAAGACATATATGGATAGCGATGAGTATAAAAAAGAAGTTGAAGCAAATGTAAAGGCAGAAAAACTTTTACAGTTGCAAAACCAAACCGTACAGTATGAAAACTTAGCACAAGAAAGTAAAAATAACGACGCAGCCATGCAAAAGGCAATGAAAAGCGCAGAATATATAAAAGCTAACAATGACTGGTTAGATGCCCAAGCCAACGCTAAAGCAGCCCAACTCATAGGGTCAATAAGGACAAAAATACAAGCGGATGAAGACAGTTCAAATGAAGCTTTAACGAATGCTGACTTTAAGAACGCTTTCGAAGCTCTTCATAGTAAGGTGAAACAAGTGAACGACTTCTCATCTGGAAAGAAACTGAAGTCTGAAGGTTTCGACAAAGAGTTAAGAGAAGTAGCACAAAATATGACGAAAATAACAGATGCAGCAACGAGACAGGCAGTTCAAAGTGCCTATGACGCCGTTAGAGCAACTGTTGTGAAAAGTCAAGAAAAAGAGTTACAACAGACCAAAACAGACCTAGTAAATGCTTTCTTAAAAACGAAAAGTCAGGTAGGACATTACGCTGCAGATGGAACATATGTGCCAGCTGGTGGAATTTATATACCACCAAACCCTCCAAGAGAAGCACCTGCACCAGGACTACCTAGAACATTTACATCGTCACATGGACATAGACACAGGCATGCACCAAAACCAACACAACAACCAACAGTTCAAAACCCTGCACAACAACAACAACAACAACCAACACAACAACCAACAGTTCAAAATCCAGCACAACCACCTCCACAACCAGCACAGCAACCACAAACAGAGCAAGGACATAAAAGAAGTAGAGAACAAGGAAACCAAGAATTCTTAAAAATGCTTAAAGAAGAGTGTGGTTTCCCAGATACTGTTGACTTTAGTGACAGATATAAAGAAGCTATTGGAAAGTTCAAGGAAGGAAATACTGACCCGAACCTATTTAGCTTTATGGCTCAGCACCAAAACGGATATAATCTCAAACCTGGAAAATACAAGCTCGCTAAGGGATATGATTTAATAGCATATCATCCAAATGACATGGATGAATTTACTCCGAGATATTTGATGTCAGAGCTAAATGACAATTCAACTTTCGTCATGAAACGCGTAAAAAATAGAGACGGAACGAAAGAACAAAAGCTTATGAATGCGGATGACGTAGATAGGGAAATTGTTGAAAACGGTCTCGGAATATATGAAATGCCAGCAGATGAGGTACAAGAAACTCCACAGGAAGAAGTTCAGATACAACCAGACATGGAAGAAATAGTTCAGCAACAACAGCTAGAAGAGCCTGAAGGAAACGAACAAGTCCTTCCTTTGGAAACTAACTTCACAGAACTAGATGAAGATTTGGAACAGCCGAAAAATCTTGACCCTCAACAAGAGTATGCGGAGAATATGGAATATTTCCAAGAGTCTAAAAAAAATTCGGCTGACATAGTAGAAGAATATCGAAAAATGTTTGCCGACATACAAAAGACTCCAACACCAGATGAAAATATTCAGCATAG